AGACTTAAAATCCAAGGAAACTTGTACCACAGGAGGAAAAGTACCATTAAAGTGTGAGCCCATAGTTCAGACACTCAGAAGTCACCTACGATGAGGGATAGCTTCATGAGGCTATTGTGAGAATTCAACAAAATGACAGATGAATCAGTGTTTGTAAACTGTAAACTGTAAGGTGCTATATAAACTGTAAAATACGTATGTAAGGAATAATGTTATGATTATTTAAGGAGAAAACATTCTGAATGTAGCTTGTAACCTGACAGTAATAAATTGTTTATTTTCAACAAACAACAGAATTTGCCTGTTAGAAGACATCTTCTCTTTCAAACTAGATAAACTTGATGGGGCTACACATTTATTTCAGAGAGAAACTATTCAAAACAGATCTGAGACACCCCTTTCTGGGATTAATTTACTTCAGAACTAGTTTGTAAGCGACACAACATTATCTCATTAACTTACAGTCACACTGCATTTTGGACCACATATATTTTCTAGCTTAATCACTAGATTTGACTCCAAAAGAATTAAAAAAAATTTTTTAAACCAAAATTTAATCCCTAAAGCAATGATTCTTAGTCTTTTGTGTGTGTGTTGAGGACCTGCCAAAATGCACAATATGCAGAACGGTATGCATGGGAATACCTGGATTCCAGGTAAAGAATTCCTGATCTTCCAAGAGTTACCGGAATTCAAATAATGTACTACAGATCTGAAGGTAGTTATGTTCTGAACATAAGCAGCAGCCTTGTAAGAATAAATAATCTCCCACAAGAATTGCTTTGAAGGAAACCATACCACTATAGGAGCAATGATATGGTATGTTTTAAAATGTGGTCACCTGAGGTTTGTGTTGTCATTTCTATAGCTGCAGTAGTTTTTATTGTGTGTGCATGTGTGTAAGTATGTACGTCTGTGTCTGCTGTGTGTTTATTGCTAGTGGAATGCCCTGGCACAGCACAAGCCTCCCCAGGTGTCCACCCTGAACTCAGTTTATCTAACACAACTAAAGGGAGCCATAGCCCTAGGAAAAGGCATCAGATGGGCTTAATTGCCCGACAGGCTGAAATTGCCCTAGAGGCTCCCCTGGTTGCAGGAGCAGGAGAAAGGCATGATTGGTATTCGTTTGGCTGCTGGAAGAGTTCTAGGGAAAGGGGGTTTAGGACTTACTTCCACGGGTTTTCCACCAGACAGAGAAGGTTTCTTGTGATCTCATATGCCAACCACTGTTAGGAAGAGACTCTCAGCTTGTTTAATTCTTAAGACAACCTCCTGAGAAAGGTAGTATTGTTTTCATTTTGTAGATGAGAAAACTGAGACACAGAAAACTTAAACAACATAATTAGCCAATAACTAGCAGAGCCTGGATTTAAACTCACATTTGATTCCAAAACCCAGGCTCTTTCCACTAGCCAATGCTGTCTCTTCCCTTTGCCTCCTGGCCTCTGTGAAATGACTCCATAAGTCTCTCACTCCCTGGAGGACCCCTGAATATAAAATTCATTTACTTCAGGAAGGGCAACATTCCCAGTCGTCCACCAGACACTTAGGGTTGAGACTCATTTGCTTTTATTACTAACTCCCTTTGTGACCTTGGCAAACTCTTTAAGTTGCCTGGGCCTTGATGCAACTTCCAACTGTAAAACTCAGCAACTGAATTCTGTGCACCCAGCCCAGTCCCGGCAGGTGGCGTGCCTCCTGTCCTGTGGGATATGCACAGCTCACTTCCAGGGTGCCGTCTTCTGTGAGCACCCGAGCTAGAAGCTTGCCCTACTGCAACAGCATATGCTGCTTGTGGTCCATTTTACACTTGCCTGGCTCATCTTATTCTCCTTCCATATGTTATCTGAACTCATCTGCATTCCTTACATATTTAAATCCTACATAGTATTCCAATTTATAAATAAACCACAATATATGTTTTAATTCCCCACGAGAGGTGGTTATTTCCATTCTTTGTACAAACAATGCTGTGACCAATATGCTTTTACTTGCTTTCTTATGTACATGTGCAAGAGACTCTCTAGAGTAAATGTCCAGAAATGGAATTGCTGAGTCATAGGCTTTATGCATTAGATTGCCAAATTGTTCCCTGAAATGGAAGTACTAACACACACCATTAGCAACGTGTAAGACTTCTACTTCTCATATCCTCACCAATACCTATCAAGCTTAATTTTTTTCCAAACTAACACATTGACTGCATTTGACTTACACATTACACTTTCTTCTTTATATTTACACATCTTCCCTACTGGGCAAACTTTGTGAGGGCAGAATCCTTAATTCATTTTTATATCCTTCTCGTAAAATTTATGTAGCTTAGTAAGTAAAATAAGGGGTTGTGAACAAATCAATACAGAATTAATTTATCTTGACCCAAGAAGATGATGAGTTCCAGGTGGGCAGGGATGAAGCTTTCTACCTTTACTTATCTGGGGTGAAGACATAGGTAGGGAATCCCCATAAACTACAAAGGGTGCTGCACAGTGGTCAAAGCTGGTGTACAGACAAGGCTTCAAGATCTGTAGAAGACTGTCACCGACCTCTCAGAGATCTTAGCTGTAGATAATTTTTATCACAGTATTCACTGAATATTTACTGAAGGTCATGAATCGCCAACTTCCCAGTCTTTGTGGCTGCCTTTAAGTAGCAAGAAGGCTGTTTCTCCCTCACCCCCAGCCCCACCCCATTACTAAAGGCTGGATTAAATCCATATGTCCTTCAGACCAGGGTGCTGCCTGACCTATGGTAAATGCCTCTCCTTTTTGTCACCCCAGCAGTTCCAGGCTGACTCATTTTCTAAATAAGCCACTTGCGGTTTTTGATCTGACATCACATGTGGAAGAATGAGTAATTTTTTAAGAACCAGAATTATATCCTATCAGAATATGAAACATTGTGTATGTTACTCATGGTTTTAGACAAGGGGTCAACATTGGTCACAGATTTCCTAACTTTCTCCCACACCTTCTTTCCCTGGGGCCAGGGTATGGAGACAGGTGAAGAAAGGAGGTGGATATGGGTGTGAACTTTTGTGTGCACCTCTTATTTTATCACACAATGTAAAATTTAATACACTTGTCTTGTTGCCTCTGCTAGATTAAATAAAAGTAATAAGGCAAAGTAGCTCAGGCCATGAGTTCTGCTGCTGCACTGCTTAGGTTTAAATCCTAGCTCTACCACTTGCCCAGATGGGTGACCCTGAGTGAGTTATTGACCTTGATGTGCCTCCATTTCTCATTTATAAAACAAAAACAGCACCTACCATATACGCTTGTTATAAGAAATACATAAGTTGATGTGCGTTAAGTATTCAGAATAGTGCCTGGTACCAAATAGGTCCTATGGAAATGTCAGCAAATACTCCTGTAAATCCATCACAATGTTTATGTTCATCGTGAGTGCTCAAGAAATGCTTTTTGAATAAATGAATGCCTTCCCTTAAAACACATTTGGAATCGGGGGATAGAAGCAATGGTTAGTGGTAGACTCTTGGTTTGTGAAGGGGGTCAGAGTATGCCACCTCAAAATATGCCACTTTGGAATATTGTTTATTTTGAGCTGAAGGCAATAGAACAACAGATGCAGGATGGGTTCTCTGACCTCCCCCTTTCTGTCTGAAGCAGGATGAAAACTTCTTGTGGGAAGGGTGACCCTCCCCAAAAGGAAGAAGGGAACAAACATTCTTATCACCAGACAGAGAGTTGACACTGAGATGAATCTCTACAGACAAAACTAAAATTTGTACCCTCCTATCCCATTAGTTTCTCCTATATATTTCCTACTTTCCCACAATTTACTGGCTGACTAGCCCAGACCCCTTTGTCATATCGTCAAAAATCATTCTTTCTTTAAAACGGCATACAAGTTTTGAGCTTAACAGCTGGAATCTTCATTTTCCTTATGAAGATTCCCAAATACACATAAAAATACTAAATAAAATGTGTATACTTTTGTCCTGTTTATCTGTCTTATGTTTGCTTAATTTTCAGGCCCAGCCACAAAACGTAAGAGGACATCTGCCTCCCCTACAGCTGGAAATAGAAGGAACCCTAAAGGTCAGTTGCCTTGCACCTAGGTACCCCACACTTTTGTTTGGTTTGTTCCTTAGTTATGTGTGTTGTAGGAGGAGGGCTGCCACCCCTCAGGTGTCACTCAATGAGAGGTTCTACTTCCCATTTTCCAAGCATAAGAGGGTATGATTCTCAATTCTTGAACTGTGAAAACAGAATGGGTAAGAAAGGAGACCCTGGTATCAAAGAAATTCATTCTCTGACCTTATAGCATCTACTGTCCGTGAGGAGAAGTTAACAAGATAATGGCATTTGGAGGGGTTTATCTTGTTGAGTTAGTAGGATGGGTGTCATGTGTAGGAAATCATCTAATACTTATTGACATTCAGATATTAACATTTTTAATACATGGATTTTTTTTTTTTTTTTTTTTTTTAGAGATGGAGTTTCGCTCTTGTTACCCAGGCTGGAGTGCAATGGCGCGATCTCGGCTCACCGCAACCTCCGTCTCCTGGGTTCAGGCAATTCTCCTGCCTCAGCCTCCTGAGTAGCTGGGATTACAGGCACACGCCACCATGCCCAGCTAATTTTTTGTATTTTTAGTAGAGACGGGGTTTCACCATGTTGACCAGGATGGTCTCGATCTCTTGACCTTGTGATCCACCCACCTCGGCCTCCCAAAGTGCTGGGATTACAGGCTTGAGCCACCGCACCCGGCCTAATACATGGATTTTTTATCAGTGCAGATGTAGTGTTTATTTTCACAGCATCTGTGGTCTTTGGGAAAATATCCTTGAGTATCAGGGAGTCATGATGCAGCCAGAGTGAAATCTCTCTGAGCCCACCCTCGGTTGCAGATCTCTTTAGGATGCCTTAGTTGGGATCTGTGGGAGCCTCGTCATAAAGCAGGTTGATCCAGCCTCATTGGCACCATGTGGGCCTCAGCTGAGGAGCTTGATGACAGACCAGGCAAGTGAGTCTAACTTGACTCCTCTGGGAGTAAGAGTTCTGTGTTTATTTGAAATGTTACAAAGTCCACAATATAAGCAGAAATGCTGAGTTGCTGAAGGAAGGCTAGCTGCCTTGGAGGAGACAAATTCACTGGGGAGGTGTCAGGAGGCCTAGAAGTGGCATGTAAAGGTCAGACACATTTGCAAACACATGTACACCTGCAGTCACACACACAAACTGACACAAATAGCTTCATACACCTAGATTTTTCACTCTACACTCACATACACATTCCTCATGGACACTCTCTCAGCCTAAAGGGTGGCCAAGGGGTCAAGACCTCATGGCTGACTCAGATGTTGGTGAATGCTGCTGCTTTTATTACACCAAAGGTCTTAACATTTATTAGGAGAGGAACACAAAGCTTGGCATACTGCTATCATAGTGGCATGCATTCTCCTCTATAGTGCAGCTCTGGAGTTCAAGGTTGCTGCAGATTGCACATAAGAACCACTCTTCAGAAGGGAGAAAAGGGGAAACTGCAGATCCTTGTTCCCCAAATATCAGCAGACTCACGGTGCTTCACCACCACAGCAGCCTAGGATTTTGTAAGTTGGGTGGATATGCTTTAAACAGTAACACAGGTATGACAAGGGATCCAGGTTGGGGAAAGTTCCTAAAAGTTAGGGCCAAGAGTACTTTTGGGGAAGTAAATACTTCCCAAACAAGTATCACTGAATGGGGGTGGGGCATGCTTAGCACTGCAACTGAGCTAGGTTAAGCTGCCAGGAGTCCGCAATTAATCCTGGTTTCACAGGGAAGAATAAGACATGATGGCACTGTCACAATAAGGCCACTAAACTCACAGCGAACGATGACTTCAGAAGGAAGCTCTCATGACTACAGGGAAGCAGCTCTTTCCTCTCTGATGCCAGGTACCCCTTGTGGGTGGTACCTGCCCTGAGACTGTCACATGGTCCTTTCTGGGCTGCACATCACTTAGCACAACGGAGCAGAGGAAGGGACCACACATGTCAAGGTCATGGGACATCACCACAAAGCTGGCTGACTGTTGTTGGTGAATGTCTTAGATGCCTTTCCCGGTTGGGCCGGGTGCCCCGTGTGTCTGAAGAGCTAATCTGAAAAGAGGCTGGCAAAGGACTTCCTCAAGCTCCGGATGGTCTCCGCTTTGGCTTCATCCTCATTGGCTGAAGACCGGAAGAAGGAGGACTCAGAGAAGCTGAAGGCATTTGTCAGGGACTGCGACTTGCTTGAAGATAAAAACCAGAGAGAATGTGAGAGGGTGGTGTTCCCAGCAAGGCAGGGAAGGACGGTGACGTGAGGATATACACCTAGAACTCCCACTCCCTCCCCAGGGAGACCAGGGTGATGGAGGATAAAGCCAGAAGTGGCTGTGCTACCAAGACCCTGGGAGACCCCTATGCTACTTCCTCAACTTCAGTGATACTAGAATAGAAAGGGTGGGGACAGTGTAGGAATGAGGGAGAAGGGAAAAAAGAAAGAAGGGAAAGAGGAGGAAGACGTGACTCAAAGGCTGCTTCTTTAATTTAATGTAACATGCCCAAGGGCTAAATTTCAGAGGTCCCAACTTGGTAAGAACCTAGGAATCTCATATATTTCTCTGATGAAAGGGAGCCACAAGGGGGCCTGTGACTCTGGTACGCTCTTTTCTATCAACTATCAACTGGTGGAGCCAGATCAGAAGACCTGGGCCAAAGTCTCCTTCTGCCACTCATTCACTTCTAATTGGAGGCAAGCCATGTGCCTCTCTATGCCTCAGGTTCTTATCTATGAAGTTTGGTAAAATGAAGCTCTCTAGACACTTTTGGCTTTTTCTATTCTGATCTTTTCTCTGATTCCAAAAGAACCTATTGGCTTGGCCTAAAACTCTAATGCTTCAATTTCTCTGTTCTTAAAATGGATGTAGTAACTAACCACCCTTGCAACTCTCCTCTATGAGGTTCAGGGTGTCCAGTGGCAAAAGAGATAAATATCAGGCCTTTACAAGTTTCTTAGGGAGCTTTCTAATGAGAAAATCCAAATTACACACATTTTAGGGGCCTATTTTCCCCTTTAGAGACTAGTGGTTCGCAGGGAAAAACCATGAAGCACGAGGCCATGGGGAGGCCCAGCCTGCACTCCAGGAGAGCACATGAAGTCTGGCTTCTCCAGTGGCCCAGCTTTTCTCCTTCTTGAGTCCCACTGGCTCTCATTCCTGCTGATTTCTGGCTCCAGAACTCTTCTCCTGGTGGCTTGGGACTCTAAGCCCTCCTTTAAATGCTGGGTGCAGCTCAGGAGAAACTCCCTTCTACAGAACTGTGATCAGTCTCTCTCCCATTGCAGTAACTGTCAACAGACACTCTGCCTTTAATTAGGGCTGGGAACAAATCCCAACACGCTGGCCTCTGGGAATGGGGCACTCCTCAGCCCGCACAGGCAGAGGTGTACTAGGGACAAGCCTCCAGCTTGTCATCAGAGGCCTGCTCTATTCAATAGCTTCAGCTCAGAGGCAGTGACAATCCAAGGATCTGCCCTCAGGCAGGGGCTAAAGTTGGCTAGTGAGAAGGCATGAGGGATTAAAAAAAAGCAGGCAGAAACAGCTGGGCTGAAGGGACATTATGGGGCAGGCAAGAGGTACCACCGGCCAGAGCTGGGGAGCAAGAGTGTGTGATGCCCCTCCCATCATGCAGGACTGGAAGACCCAGAGAAAGTGACCATCTGGACACCTGAGACCCGCAACCTTGGCTTGGCCACTAATAAGAGGAGTAGCTTGGCTTTGAGAAAAAAACAAACAAACAGATCTCTCTGAGCAAAGTTTTCTCATCTGTGCAATGACTACATGACCTCCTAGTGGCTCATTTAAACTCCAAAATCCTACAGCCCCCTTTTCCCCTCTCTGAAGAGTCATTTGTTGCCTATCACCTCACTCTGAGAAGCAGGGGTGGGTGACTACCATCCCCCGTGGCTATGGCTATCTGTGCTCACGGTGGTGACAGAAGTCTGCTGGGGACATTGCAAACAATCAGAGGCCTCTGTGGGAGAGGGCAGAGCTGACCATTGTCCACATCCAGATGCTGTCCCTCCCAAGGATAGCTCTGCTGTTTCCAGGGGTCCTGTGTAGCAGGGCAATATGGAGGGGCTTCTAGGGTGATTGCTGGGTATGAGGCAACCCAAGAGGATGGAGGTCCTCAGCGTCTCTGCCTGGAAACTCCTCTGCTGCCCACACCAGAAACTGACCTCCTTTGGACAGAGCTGAAGGTAAAATGTTGAAATGGATTTAACTACTTCCCTCTTTTCATTCTGGGCAGCCTTACTGATTGCATACTCTGAACTGTGAGTCGGAGGCAGAAAGATTAAAAAAAATTTTTTAGAAGTAGAGAAACACACACAAAGAAAAGGAATGGAAAAAAGAGTGGGGGACAGGGTTTAAAATAAACAAACCAAAACGTTAAGCTAGTACAAGACTAGAGAAGGGACAGTGACTCTGCCATAATGCCACTTCCCAGGAAGAAAGGGGAGGGAGTTGAACTTCTAGTTAAACTTTATACTTTCACTTCCTTCTTTCTTCCCCTCCCCAGTGAACCCTAACCATTCCTCTCACCAAAAACCAAAAAAAGAAAAAAAAGAAAAAAAAAAACCCCCAAAAAATCCCACCACAAAATATCTGTAGGAGGAGACCTGATTGAAGGTGCTTTCTAGCAGCTCTGAAGCCCAAGGCCCACCAGGAGGGCGGGAGGAGGGGAGGGAGGAGCTGCTGAGTTGTCTCTTACTTGAGCTGTGGGTGAGGCTGGGGCTTCTGTGGTGGAGCAGCCAGGGGTGGCTGGGCCTCTGCCAGGGAGCTGCTGCTGGAGGGTGCATCTCCGTGGGTGGTGGGGCCGCCCGGCCGCTGAGAAGCCAAGGAGGAGGAAGAGGAGGAGGAAGAGGAGGAAGGTGGCAGTGATGGTCCAGGGGGGAGCCGGCGTGGAGGCAGCACCTTGCCTGGGGGCTGCATTCCTTGGGGTTGCCCAGGGCCCCCTAGGTTCAGTACAAGAAAAACTTCATAATTTAACCATATCAAAATGTTTCCTTATTAGAATCTACATCTCAAAAGGTGTGGTTAATTACAAAAGGATAAGCTCTATTCCAAGAAGCTGGAGTCTCTGAAGGGCCCCAAAGGGGGTCCTTGGTTAGCTATCCTTGTACATGGCCACTAAGTGCTCCTCCTCAGAGACACAGCAACTCAACCACAGCAGGAGTCAGCAGGACAAGGAGGAACCAATGGACTAGCAGCCCCACCAGAGGCATGCTCTCTCACAGAGGGCCCCAGAATGCAGGGTCCTCATCCTTCCTCCCCAGAGGTGCCTCAGGCACACACTACCCTGCTCCAGGGTTTGCTGCAAGTCTCAAGTTCCACACGGCGATGAGGAGACAGCACTGGATCCCAGAAACAGTCTACCAGTGACTCCCTGAGCAAGTAACCAAACTTCTCTGGCCTCAGTTTTCCCAACCATAAAACTCTAAAAAGTAAGCCCTGGTCTTACTGGTCTTTTAAGGGGTAGTGTTTCAAAGATGGTAAGGTTGAGCAAGTTCTTCAAAAAGTATTCCATACCCTATGATTACCTCGATGGTCACTGACTTATGTTGTTTTATGGGGCCACCCTTGGTCCTGCTCCAAGCCTGCATGGGTCTGATTGCCATGCCCACCCTGCCCCACCAGGGCTTCATTTTAGCATTAACTCATGCTCACAACCAGGAGAAATCCTTTCTTTCCAGGCACTGTTTTGCCTCTCAGTACCATCCTCAGAGGCTCTAGCAGGATGAACCTCTCAGGTATGTGTGGTAGAATTCTCCAGACATCCAAACTCCACTCTCCCCTGGGGATGTTGTGGGTGCCATTTGGCAAAGAAAAGCCCCCCTAAAAAGGACCAGCACACCCTCCTCCCAGCATGAAACATGAAACCATTGGGTGGCCTGGAAAGAAAAAAGGTCCTCCTTCCTCTAGGAGTCGATAAGCATTAAGGTGGTACCAGATTGCCTAGAGTTTGCTGAAGAGTGTCCCAACACTTAGAAATCAAAAGCCATTCCCACTAGCAACTACTGACTAAGGGAAATGATGCACGACTGCCCTAGGAGGTCCAGTCTCTCAGCCTCAATCCCAGAGTCCACATCCATGGGCCTGTTGGAAGGAATGGACTTACAGAAACTCAGCACCAGCTAGCTGTATTATCACTTAGTTTTTTAGAAACACCAGAACATCTGCAGCCTCTGGAGAGGCAGAACTGTATGTCTGTGCCACTGTGCACCCATAACTGTCTGCTCAGTTCCCCACTACAGGGCATAGGATCCCCTTTATCATCTAACCAAATAATGCCAGAGTTAGTTACGCAGAAATAAATACATACATACATAAATAGAATTTTGCAGGTTTAAGAAGCTCCAAATTCAAATCAAAATAGCTAATGAAGATGACACATTAGCAGATTATTTCACATTAACCAGCTTTTGCCATTTCCAAAGTTTGACATTATTGGTATTAGCATTTTCCAGTAAGGTAACACAGGTTGATTGCTCAGCCTCTTGCACCAGAAACCTGAGTGCTTTCCCACTTGTGCAGAGATACTTGGATAGCCAGAAACTTTACAACTTAACACTGAAGACAGATATAACTTTTCCTTTATTGCACATTAAGCTGTACAAGAGTCACAAAAGAGAGGTACTTCAATCACACTTCCAGCATTGGCTGAGGTTCTCCCAGGTGGATCAGTACAAAAAAAGGGGACAACGTCAGAAAAGAAATAGGTACAAAACACCTGAACAGCAATCCTATACTGTGACACAGATGTCCCCCAGGCCACAGAGTTGTCCCTTAGCATGCTGCCTGAGGGCACATAACAGTCAGGTTATGCTATCTGCTTGCATTTGGCAATGGGAGCCCTAACCAATTTCTCCCCCACCCTGAAAGACCTTGGCTGACACCACCCTGTAGCCTGACTGAATTCAAATGGCAACTTTGCATTTGTGGCTCACAAATGACACATAAAAAGCACCGGATGTACACACTGATAACATGCAGAGAAGCAACACCACCATCAGCTCATCACTTGGACAAAAATATAAAATAAAGTATTCCTCCATTCTGGGAAATGTTACTTTATTCTTTTCTATCATTTCATCAGATTGGGAGGTTTTTAAGGACCTGATTCTTAGGCAACTCATCTGGAAGTGCAAATATGCATATATGTATATATTTACAACAGATCAACTACCATCATCAGCTGAGGGAGGGATTACAGATGAAAACATTCACACTCAATGCATTTCTCTGTGGCCTCAGAATTTGCTAGCAACCAAAGGAAATACCAGGGCGCAACCCCCTAGACATGTAACTCTTGTTACATACCACCAACACTAGTTCCTTCTCAGATCTGAGAGTCCATAATGGTGACATGTCAATATAGAAGTGGATAGGAATGTAAAAGTAAAGCCAGAAGCATTTCTTCTCAAAAGCAAACTGCTGGCATGAACTCCCACCAACCATGGTGTTAGAGGTGGCCACCTGGTTCCCATTCCCAGCCTGGCCGAGAGATAGCAAAGATGAGGCACTGAAGCTGAGGCCTGGTTTAATGAACTGCCTTAGCATATGCTCAGGTGCTGCTTGTCAGAGGGAAGAGGACAAACTGGTGAGGATTCCTCAAGAGCCACTGCTGTGGAGTCTCTGTTCAAAACACACAAGCTAAATCTGAAGACAGTTCCTCCCAGAAAAGAGAAAGCTCCTCAATCTCTGGACCCTGGAGGGCTCTGGTAAACAGCTGAGAACTGAGGCATGAGTCAACCTCGGGGTTCTGTAGGTGGTGTACCCACTCAAGAGACATAGGACATTTTTGATTTGGTCTCCCATTACGATACCTCAGGAGAGGCCAAGAGCAGAATGGACAAATCCCTGACAGACCTTCAGTAGCTCCCTGCATTCTATGTCCAACATTGCCAAGGAATTATCTCTGTACACAGGTCAAGCTTTGGGAACACAAAGCAGCCTCAGGTCCACACAAGCACACACATGGCTGATCCAGAAACAGCAACAAAGAAGAAACAACTGAGATCAACACACAGAAAATACTCACAGATTTACTTTGATATTGCACATCAGCGGCCCCATTTTTAAAAAATCTCATAGCTAATTAATAATAAAATGAAGGGTACACTGGGATGTAAAATACAGAACACATTCCTGGAAATAGCTTGTTCTTTGTATTTCATGTCATCACTAAAAACACAAGAGCTCTACAGGCACAGCCAGCCTATTCACGTAAACTCAAACTGCACCAAATTTTAGCAAATAGAGAAAAAGGTGGATGCTTTCAAATTCAATGAATGAAGCTATGGAAATTTGATTTTGAAAATCTCTTAATGTTCTATCTAGTTACCATAGTCATGCAGAAAGAAAGCGAAAAGCACAGTTCATTGAAGATCCCAAGCACACTGGTGGAGGTCAAGTGGGGGGATTTAATCTGAGCTTGGGGGGAGAAGGAGAGGAGTTGGGTTTTCTTTTTGTGGTTTCTGTTTCTCCCATCCACCCCGCTACTCCCATTTCACCCCACATTATATATTACTTTTAAAAACACTATCAAACCACCCAGAAGAGAGAGTCACACTGGACTTGGGAGAGGCACAATTCTTTTGTACACTGTTGACAAACAGCCCTGGAATCACAAGTTATACAGAGAAAACATAAGTGAGCGTTACAAGCACGAACAGGAACAGGTAAACAACCAGAGAGAGGAGCTGACACTGCATAGGAAAAACACAGTCCAGTCAGCATTGAAAGAACGCAGCAACGGCACCAGTGGGGGGGTCTGTTTTCCCCTCCCCGCTTTCCTTTCTTGTTTGTTTTTGGCTTAAAATTTCTGCTTTGAAAAATTAACTACCAATTGTTTTAAGAAGCTTGGACTTGTTTTGGCCCTACTGCAATGCCATTACAGTCGAGAATATACTGTAAACAACCTTGGGGGGGTGGCCGCTGAGGTGGGGTCTTGCTTGAGTCCGGATCCTTAAGTGTTCCACTCTGGAAGACAAAAATGCAAAAGAGATAAAAACAAAACTCCAAGCCACAGAATTCCAAAGAGAAACCTCGTGGCTCCATGGTAAAGCCACAGTGGAATCCGGTGGGTCCTGGTGGGATCCAGTGGGATCTGGCCATAGGCTTCTGCAGCTCTAGAAACACCTCAAAGGGGACCCTCAGCCTCAGGTGTTGCTGGGGCAGTGTGGGCAGTCTGGGGCTTGGAGCCACTCTGGTAATAATGCCTGAGACCTCTTCAACCCCTTTTCCATTTTCCTCCGTTTAGACTCATTCCTTCTAGAATCTTTGAGTCCTCTAGCACCATCTTGTTTCTTTTCTGGTTTTCTGATGCCTGCCCATTTCCAGCTCCCACTCCTACATACAGGCCTGGCTTTCTAAAGGAAAGGGAGGGTCAACACCAAACCCCAGAGGCAGGGTGGGACTACAGGTGGCTCTAGGGGCAGGACAGCAGGAGGGTAGGTGAGGAGTGTATGTGTATGCACGCCTGTGCCTAGCTGGACCTAGTGACTAGCCTAGGCTTGGCTCATTTCTCATCTGGAGTTAATTCTGGAGTGGGAACAGTTCTGGGGCTGACTCAGGGGATCAGATCCACTCTTTGGACTTGGCTGGGAACTCCCACAGGGAGGGACTTGAAGAAAGGGGTTGTTATTTGTTTCCCAGAACCTTCCTTACCTTAGAGGGAAGGAATAAGAGATTAATGTTTGTAACAGTGCTCAAGGCCAGGCTGCTTTTGTACTGCATAATTACACTGTACCCAACAGCATGGCTCCACTCCCATGCTTCCTCTCCTCCCAGCCATGATTCTGATTATGCCCTGAAAGGATCAAAGACCTGTGTGACTTAGTTTGTCTAACATTTGCATTAGAGGCAGTGAATGTTTGGAGCCTGAGTTCGGCACAAGGGAAATGCTCTATGAAGCCTAAAGCCTGCCAAGTGTGCCGATGGTGTGTTAATAAGGGGCTTCCAAGGCAAGGTTGTGGCTAAAAACAAGCATGTCCTCAGTGAGCAACCACTTCCCCTTTAGTGCTCCTCTCCCCTTTTGATGTGCCCCTTAGCCCTACTCCCGCATTAAAGCTGCTTCTCCTCCTGTTCCTCATTTCCCTTGGGCCTCCCATTCTGGCATTTATCTCCCTTCCTGCCTATTACCGTCTGTTTTCAGCTCCACTGCAGGGAAGTGTTACCTTCTCAGTATCACAGTCTTTTAACAGCATTACTCGGAACTGTTCTACTGAGAGGATTTGGGATTGTAACAGGCAGGGGGTCTTTGAAATGTCCTAAGTGCCACCACATTAGAGAGTGCCCATTCTACCATAACTCCTAACCCCCAACAAGTCACACGAGAATACTACTTCCTTTCCCTTCTTCCGGAGACCTTCTTGGGACCCATGAGGCACAGTCTGAGCCTGGCACTGCAACACCCACACCTGGGAAGCCAGCTGGAAACCACTCAATCCCATCAGCCTTCAGAGGACTTCTTAGCTTTTCCCTCCTGGTGTCTGAGTCGCCATCATCCCTGGACTAACTTTGGTCAGGCCTTTATCATTTCTTGCTAGAATAGTCTTCTAATTCTTTCATCTCTTCTCTTTCCAATCTGTCTTCTCTGGGGCTACCTAGTACCCTCCTAAACCTTTTTTCTAGTTGTGTCTCTTAACTTCTCTAAAATTATCTAGAGCTGACACTTATGGAGTGCTTACTGTGTTGCAAGTAACATGAGGGCACTATAGTACACTATCTCCCTATACCTCACAGTACTGTTACTGTGAGGTAGATGCTATTTCATCAGTACTCGCGATTGCTTCAGCATGGCTGGGCTCGCCCTTTCCAGCCTTCTCTTTCTCTTTATGTCATCAACTGCTGCTCAGTCCAGGCCCGATTCTCTACTGTTCATTCTTTCGTCTGGCCCATGCCTTCAACATCACAGGCTCTCATGTCCAGAGACAGATACTTAGGTGAAGGACAGAAAAAGGCACAGTTTGTGAAGCTACTGGACTGGCTCTTGCTGGTATTTCCCCCAGGGCCTCATGCCCAATACCACTGAAGGGTGCCAATGCACCATCTCAAACGTTGGCCAAGAACAGCTTAAGATGTTCTCCTCCCAGAGAATCGGTATTCCTGGAGAGGGTTACAGACCGGGTGGCATGAGAGCAGAACCAGGGCCAGTGAGCAAAAAAAGCTCTAGAAAGGCAGACTTTCACTTACAAGCAGAACTTTTCTTTTGTAAAAACAGTAAGATAGGCTGTTTTGAGAGGCAGATGTATGTGTTCACATAGTGGCTAGCGAATGCCCTGACAAAGACATCATAGATAACATTCCTTCTTTAAATATGAAGTTGACTGAATGAATGCTAAGGTTCCTTCCAACCCTGTGAACCTATGATTCCAAGAAAACATTTTAAATCCCATAGATTAAGCTTTAATAGGACTCCAGACACTCACAGGATGAACTCACAGGAGTGATCATACCATGCAGGTTTGCCTTGTCTTTCCTCAGCCATAGAAATATTCATGTAAGACACCCACGGATGAACTAGGCCCAGATATGCCCTTCTCCAAGATTCAGGGGAAGAGCTCCCAGAGGCAGTCCTTTGGGCTGGAGCCTGGGAATATACCTTGGCCATCCTTGATGGTGCCTAGGAAGCTGCTTCTGGCCCCGGCTCTACTGAGATTATGTACCGAAGACTTCTCAGGGGCTACTGGAGGCAGGGAGGAGTGTTCCCAAGGACTGTCCCTTGCCAGGCTGAGACACCCTGGCTCCACCCACAAGCCTGCTGTCTGCTAGGGTCTGCAGGCCTATTCCCTGTGGGACTTGGCTACCATGGGATCTGTCTCCAGTCACCCAGAGCCTCCTGGGATGCCGAATTCCACAGATGTCTGGCCACTCTAGCGTCACTGCCAAAGTCTGGCCTGGAGCCAGCCCACAGCAGGAACTCACAGCCAGATGGAGGAGGCAGACTTTTGCTCAGGAAGTTGGATTGACTCAAACAGGTAAGAATGTAAAGTTCAGTGCTTGTGCCTAGCTGCATACAAAAAGGAAGGGGACGAAATGACCTTATAGAAGCATAAGAAAAAAACCCAGCTGGGTGTGGCTCACGCCTGTAATCCCAACACTGTGGGAGGCCATGGTAGGCGGATCACTTGGGCCCAGGAGTTCGAGACAAGCTTGGATTACATGATGAAACTGTCTCTGCAAAAAATACTAAAATTAGCTGGGCATAGTGGCATGTGTCTGTAGTCCCAGCTACTCGAAAGGCTGTGACAAGAGGATCACTTGAGCCTGGGAGGTTGATGCTGCAGTGAGCCATGATCATGTCACTGCATTACAGCCTAGACAATAGAGCAAGACCCTGTCTCAAAAAAATATATAAATAATAAATAAACCCAAAACAATCTTGGGTTTACAGAGTGACAACAGTCTCAGAGGGTGTCAGTCTGTAATGATTCTGCCAAAAATCAGATGCAGCTGGAGGTGTGTCTGTGTTTTCACAAGGGGAAGTGATAGGGCCATTGTTCTTCTGGCTGATCAAGCTTCATGTAAGAGCACTACAACCAGTTCTGGCCATCTCTCAAGGGGGATGCTAGCAGAAAAACATGGGTACATGGAGCAGACAGGATGGTGAGAAGTCTTGAAATGACATCTTTCTTCATGTGACTTTGGGCAAGTTACTTACCCTGAGTCACAGTTTCCCAAAAGGTAGGATTAAATGAGGTAACCGTGGAAGCACCTCGGGCTTGGTAGAAGATTGCAGGGAGTCAAATGTAAATCTGAATAGTGTCAAGGGCTATTTGTCCAAGCACTGCTGAAATACCTCTCATGCCAGGAAGCCCACTGCTTGGCTTGGGTAGCACTGAGCTTCTTAGCATGAGAGGTATTTCAGCTGTGCTTGGACAAACTCTGTTCAGAGGGGCTCATGTAGTTGCAGGCACATGACTTCTACATGCCTTTCTGGCTCTGGGCTTCCATGAATTTGTTCATGCTTTTTTTTTTTCTTTTCAGTTCTTCAGATGTGTGAGATCTGAGACAAGTTCTTCTCAGCCACAGTGTTTAAGACCAGCCTGGACCAGCTACAGAATCTTGAACTCAGCAAGACCCTAGGGCTACTGGGCCTGTGCAGAAATGTCTTGCAGGTATAGGCTTTCAGGGGCTTGGAGAATGTGCTACTTCCATCGAAGCTAATTGGGCTGGTATCCTGCTATGCCTAATCCACTGGGCTTAGTGATCAGAGAAGCCAGGAAGAAAGAAGAGAGCTGGTGAAGCTCAGAGACTTCTCCAGGTTGGTAGGTCCTCTACTTGTTTGTTAAAGGAGGAATGAAAGGGTTTTCCTTACACAGAGACATAGAGTCACAAATGCCCATCTCACTCCATTCTTATCTTCCCCTCTGCTGATGTGGGAGCACAAGAAGGGCATGGTGCACGGCACTATGGAGAACTCCCTGAACTGGGGCCCAGAAGATCCAGTTCTCCTGCTTAGCAGCTGTGTGACCCTGGGCAAGTCAGCTGCCTTCTCTTTGCTGATATGTGAAACAAAGATACACTTGCCAGCCCAAGCCATCTTAAATAAGGATTGTGAGGCTTAAACTAATGAGTGTACTTTATAAACTGGAAAGTGTTAGGCAAAGTAAGTGAGCATTCTACTATTATTTAAATAATAAATATCAATCCAAAGGAAGGGAGGTCTAATGTTAGAATTTCATGCATCAGTGGAGAAGATATTGTTGTGTGGTTTCCTGTCACCTGATGTATAGTAGTTTCATGTGTAGAGAATTCTGGTCTGGGTTATATTATGCCCTCTGTATATTACTGACTTAGTTCCAGCAAGGTCCCTGCAGAAATGGTAAATATTAGCTCTGGAGATGATTGGAAAGGAAATCACTGGCCTGGGACAGAAACCAAGCCCATGCATGAAGGTTTGTGGGTTTTTGTCAAAGGCAACTTTAAAATGCTATCCTGTGGGTTTCGGCAGACAAGCTGGGAGAAAGGAGCTCCTG